CATTATAGAGCAGAAGAATTAACTAGAGGAGGACCATTCATTTTGCAATTTAGTACCATGGATAAGTCTTTGGTGTTATAATTTAAATTGAAATGGGATTAGCTTGGACATGGTTTCTTAGTAGAAAAGACTTCAACAGAATCTACTACAGAAGTCACTAAAGGAAAGATAAAGGGTTGGCATATATATCTGTTCGGTCCCACTAGTTAAGGCTAATCAAGGACCAGTATATTACTTTTATGTTGAAGGGATAGTGTGCATTGTTTGTTTAGGACATTGCTAGCAAACTTTAACATTCACTTTGAACATTAGGCACTGCTCTTGGTAAACTAAAGGAGAAGTAATTATCAGACATAGAAAAGGCAGAACTTACACTAAACGAGCAAAAGTTATCATCTATGGACATTCAATGACACTCCAATTGAAGAAACAACCCGCACAGGTTTACGAAACAAAGAACTAGAAATATATTAAAGAAGGTAAAAATGCAGCCTATGCAGAGCCACATGAAACATCAAAATGGGTTTTTTAGGAATTGATAGGCTGGTATCAAGTACTTTTGGAAGCAATGAAATTTATAACTATAACATTATGATGACAATTCTTAATCTTAGTTCGACTGCTAATTTCAAATGGTGATCAGATCTATGTGATTAGCCTAGAAGGAGATTAACAAGAGGTACATTTATAACTCCTTTCAAGCTAGCACTAATTACGCAAGAAACACTCAATTTCCACCAACAAGTAAAGCAACTTGGTAGAAGGTAGAATAATCTTGAAAAATTAAATTTTCTTTGGAAAGTAAAGGGAAAAATGATAATATTATAAATTATATTGTGTGATCATAGAATACCTCTGAGATTAAAGGGAAAATTCTATAGGACGGTTATAAGACCAACAATGCTTTACAGATCAGAATGTTGGGCAACTAAAAGATAACATGTGCAAAAAATGAGTGCAGCAGAAATGAGAATATTCAGATGGTCTTAAGGGTATATACTAAAAGATAAGAAATGATTGCATTCGTGGTAAATTAGAGGTTGCTCTTATTGAGGATAAAATAAGAGAGAATTGATTAAGGTGGTTCGCACATCTACAACAAAGACGTCTTAGTGCACCGGTTAGGAAAAGTGATAATATTATAGTTAATAGATAAAAGAGATCTAGAGCTAGACCTAAAAGAACTTGGTTGGAAGCAATTAAGAAGTAAATGATTATGGTTAACTTAACAAAAGAGATGGCCCATAATATTACAAAATGGAAGAATATGATTCACATAGCTGACCCCAAACATTTGGGATAAAGGCGTTATTGTTGTTGTTGTTGTGCGTGTATGTGTCTGTGCGTGTGTGTTATTCCAAAGGGTCATAACAACTTGTAGACGACATTTACATAGAAATAAGTCATAAATAGTGTTTACAATAATAGAAAGTATTTAACATGTGCACATTTTATAGCCCTGATAAACAAAGCAACAAACAAGTTATTTTCTTTTTTGACAATAAAAACAGTCAGCATTTGAAATAATCTACAACTGAAAGGCTGCAACTTTTTCTTTGCAGTTTAAATAATCTATTCTGATAACTTCATGCACGACTTTGTTAGGCTATACATAAGCCTATATCGGTTCATGGAAACCACTTTTGACCAAGACTTGGGAGGTTTTTGGGAAATTATCAGAAAGATTAAGTATAATGTACATTTCTAACATTGTTCCTTGTTACTGATAAGAAAAAACTGCACACAAAAAATTGGGGAAGAAGAAACAAAGAATATTGTATAAAATCTTATTCCCTCATCTAACTAAGCATACACAATCCGGATCATTGTCACGACTTGTTTGTATCGTCTACTAATTTCCTAAGTATCTGAAATCAAAATAAGTTTTACATGCAATGTTGTGATCACAAGGTACATTCCTTTGATCCCCAAAACTGACTGAAACATAAATTCATATCACCAGATTCAGAATTTCCCTTGCAAACAACTCAAATTTAGATAAAAGGAAACAATTGACAAGAGAAGATTCATCCAACTACCTGTAAAACTTCCAAGTGCAAAGATCGCAGTAGCTCGTGATAGCTTCGCCTCATCCGCAGCTCTTCATTGAAAAATAATCATATCTACTCATATCCAGCACCAAAATTTCTCCCAAAAGCCAAAGAAATCAAGAACCACAGAAGATACCCAGATGGAGAAACCAATCAGACAATCCAGAAAAAGGCCCAAAATCAATTCTTGCTCCCAATTCCCCAATTCACTACAACCTCTTCTCTCCCCTAAGGACGGCTAATGGTTTTTTCTTTCCTTGTATCACTAATTAGTAGCTGCTCCTGTACTTTAAAAAATAGTTAGCCCAATAATTAAATGGTAACTCCCTGTTATCGAATCATCACCTCCAAATGCTGACAATGCCGACTGACAGCGACACAGCGCCGACAGAAGTTGGCGGCCTTCTATTCTCTCTCTCTCTCTCTCTCTCTCTCTCTCTCTCTCCCCCCTCTGTGTCTTCTTATTAATCAAGACTCTCTTCAATTTTTAATAAAGGAGAGCTCTTTCTTGTACCTCACAGGATTTAGAGACAACCCATTAAAGAGAACAGGAGGAAAGGAATTGAAAACTGGAGAATGTAGTAGAGAGAGAGAGAGAGAGAGAGAGAGAGATTTTGGGTATTTGTAGTTGTGGGCTGTAAAGCAATTGTAACAAGGGGTCGTCGTTGTCTTGTACTGCAACTTGAACCATGGACAAAGTCCATTTCTTTTTTAGTCATTTCCCATTTCTTATTTTATTTTATTTTTCATTTCTCAACTGTCGCTGGCATCTTTCTCTTTGAGAAACGGGAGTAGAAATTTTAATAAGAATGACCTTTTGTTAATAAATATTGGGTTCAAGTGAAGAGTGAAACAGAATGTTTTTGGTGCTGTAATGAAGACTGTGGGGTTGCTATCACAACAAAACAGCTATGTTGACGTTGTTCCTACCCCCCAAAAAAAAATTAAACAAAGAAAAAGAATTAGATAAACGCAGATAAAATCTGGCATGGTTTGTGCTTTGGTGGCTCCACCCTCTTGTGTAATACTCTCTTGTTTGGTAGTGTTTTGGGTCAAAATAGGAACAGGCTGTTTAATGATGAGAGGAATCCTTGGATTACTCTCCCTCTTTCTCTCTCCACCCTCTTCCTCTCTAGGAGTATATAGAGTCTCAAAGCTCACCTATGGACGAAAGAAAGAAAGAGTTTTACCCCCCTTGGAATTTTTTTCAGATGTATCTTGATCTTCTGCATGTAAGTGCAACACAGCTGGCCTCAGTGTAATTAATGCTTCCTTGCTTAATGAGAATAATAGTACCTAATGCATATAGACTCTTTATATATATTATCATCAAATTGCATATAGACCGGCTGCATGTGCTTTTGCTCCTACTTAATATATAGACGCCAAATTTCTCACTTTCATTTGTTCTGCGTTATAGCCGGGCTTCAAAAAACTAAAACCATATGATTTCCACTTCCATATTCATTATGTATAGCCAACTAAGTTAAATGAAAAACTAATTGAGCGTAAGAATCCGTAAAAGCCTGCCTGCGGCAATATATAGAAGTGTAAGTGGTCTGTATGCAATTTGGTAATCGTAAAAGGGGTCTGTTTGCAATCAATCCAATTAGTTTCTTCTGGAATTTTATTTTCTTTTTCTTTACACGTTAAAAGGATGATGGGAGCCAGTTAACTTCCCCCAAATAATTAGTGCAGGGGTTACGATTAAAGAATCTGTCTAATCTAATATTTTCTTTCAACTTGATTAACCATTTATTTTGTCAACAAGTGCTTTCTAATCAGTGGTTAGTGCTTGTTATGGTTGGCCTCCGTACTCAAGAATTAATGCTTTTAGGCCATCTCCAACCGGCCTCTAAAATGACAAAATCTTCAAATTTGAAGAGTGGAACCTCTCCAACCACTCTCGTAATTTGGAGATCTCCAAATTTCACCCTCCAAATTTGGAGGGTGAAGAGAAAATTTGGAGAGTTTGGAGGGTGAAAAGAAAATTTGGAGAGTCTCTCCAAAATACTATTCATGTTTCATTAATTACAACTTTGCCACTTTTAACTATTTAATTTCTTAAAAATTACCACTTTAATTACCATCATTCTTAGTAATTTAAATTAGATGTTTAATTTCAAATAAATATAGTTAAAAAATTATTAATTTAATTTCAAATAAATATAGTTAAAAAATTATTAATCTAATATTTGAAATCATTATATATTTGGAAATGTCTCGTTGGGATCTTTAAAATGAAACTTAGATTAATTTATTTTAGTATTATTATAAAATTATTAATTTTTAAATTAAATAAATAAGTATCAGACATAAAATTTTAAATACGAGGATCTATTTAATTTGCCTCATAAAAAAATACAAGCATAAATTATAATATTTAAATTACATTCCTTCGTTGTCGTGCCTCTGCCATAAATGTTCAATCATCTGTTATCATATTTTATGTTTGAGGTTTATGTTTGCGACCTATGGTATGTTGTATTAGAGGTTCATATTTGCTTTCTTGTTCTATCGATGTATGCTTTGTCACTGTTATTTTAGATTTTATTTTTTAATATGTTGTATTACATTATTAATATTGGGTTCATTTTAAAGCTCTCATCGACACCTTTATAATGTTATAATTTTTTTCAAATAAATTATTAAAAATAAAATTATTAATGTAAACTATATATATCCAACATTATTAATTTATATGGCTTTTTTGACAAAAAAAGGAACATTTGGAGAGTGTGGGTTGGAGCAACTCTCCAAAATCCACTCTCCAAATTGAAATATTCCTAGAATATTCCAATTTGAAGGTTAAAATTTGGAGGGCATGGTTGGAGATGCTCTTAGGAGTCCAAACTCCAAGTATGATATGAATTCTAGCCTTTGTTTAGATAAATAGATATCCATTAACATGTACTTCAAAATATTTATTCCAATCATCCGATTAGAACAAATTTCAGCAACCTCTTCTATTCATCATTATCATATATATATATATATATATATATATATATATATAATATATATATATATAATTATATATATATAATATATATATATATATATATATATATATTATTATAGAGAGAGAGAGAGAGAGAGAGAGAGAGATATGAGTATGCTTGGTACCAAGCACAAAAAGTTGTGCTTGGTACCAAGCAATACCCCTATATATATATATATATTATATATATATATAATATATATATATATATATATATATATATATTATATATATTATATAGGAAGAGCTGTTCTAATAAAAACTCCTTAGTCTAAAAACTAAAAACCTCCTTCATCCATTGGATCTAGATGAATCCAATGGTTGCGATTCAGTCAAACAGTCAACAGACACATG